ATATATATATATATATATATATATATAAGCATCATGTAAGCATTGGATTAATGGGAAATTTATATAATAATTTAGATATATTGACCTTTGAACTAAGATTTTCCCTATATAATCTCATCTCTTTTGGTCTCTTGGAAAGCCATATCAATGGATATTCTCCTATAAGGCCAGAGAGTCTTATTTCAATTATCTAGTTCGTTTGAAGGATAACATGTCTCAAACTCAAGTCCATTTTCTTCTTCTTCTCGCACAAAGGTAGATATTGCTATTGTTTATGGTAAATTTTTAGGTACTGATGTTGGAACGATTCAATCAAATCAAATCTCCTAATCACTCGGTCCTTTGTTCTGATTGAGTCGTGCCAATATCGTACTAAACATAACTTTTTATGTTTTACACAAATTTTCTTTTATAAAAATAATCCACACTATCATATATGTAGAAATTAGTATGGTAATTCATTCACATAAAATTATCATCTTCACTTGTAAGTCTTATTTTTAAACTATATGATATTTTAAATACATCTCTCCCATCAAGATGCATATATTTCATATGTAGAATTAGATATTTGTAGAAAATAATATCATAGTAACTGGATAAAGAATAAATCAATAGACTTAATAGATCTCGTAATAAGACTCTTACATTATATTAGAAAGAAAGAGAGTTTAAGTTTAATTTATTTTTATAAAATTAATTTATTAAATGATAATTGTTTCGGTTTATATAATATAAATTGATCTTAATTTTCATTTATGTAAAATATTCCTAATACGATCCGCATATTTTTGCATAAAGAGTTTAATATTATAAGTTTGTTCTTATCGTTTAGTCTCTGATGCAACTATATAATAGTTACCAAACTTATTCGTGCCTCAATAAAGGGAAGAGTTATAAATAAATATGTTTATATATATATATATATAAACATATTTATTTATAACTCTTCCCTTTATTGAGGCACGAATAAGTTTGGTAACTATTATATAGTTGCATCAGAGACTAAACGATAAGAACAAACTTATAATATTAAACTCTTTATGCAAAAATATGCGGATCGTATTAGGAATATTTTACATAAATGAAAATTAAGATCAATTTATATTATATAAACCGAAACAATTATCATTTAATAAATTAATTTTATAAAAATAAATTAAACTTAAACTCTCTTTCTTTCTAATATAATGTAAGAGTCTTATTACGAGATCTATTAAGTCTATTGATTTATTCTTTATCCAGTTACTATGATATTATTTTCTACAAATATCTAATTCTACATATGAAATATATGCATCTTGATGGGAGAGATGTATTTAAAATATCATATAGTTTAAAAATAAGACTTACAAGTGAAGATGATAATTTTATGTGAATGAATTACCATACTAATTTCTACATATATGATAGTGTGGATTATTTTTATAAAAGAAAATTTGTGTAAAACATAAAAAGTTATGTTTAGTACGATATTGGCACGACTCAATCAGAACAAAGGACCGAGTGATTAGGAGATTTGATTTGATTGAATCGTTCCAACATCAGTACCTAAAAATTTACCATAAACAATAGCAATATCTACCTTTGTGCGAGAAGAAGAAGAAAATGGACTTGAGTTTGAGACATGTTATCCTTCAAACGAACTAGATAATTGAAATAAGACTCTCTGGCCTTATAGGAGAATATCCATTGATATGGCTTTCCAAGAGACCAAAAGAGATGAGATTATATAGGGAAAATCTTAGTTCAAAGGTCAATATATCTAAATTATTATATAAATTTCCCATTAATCCAATGCTTACATGATGCTTATATATATATATATATATATATATATATATATATATATTTTCGTATTATAGTATTTTCATATCCATGGAGATAAAAATTAATCTCCCGGTTATTGATCAACAAGTTTTTATAAGTTATAATATATTTTTTTTCTTAATGAAAGATACTTAACTACTACACCAACTGATAAGTTATAGATTATAATTGATGATTTTGTCAAATGCATATAAAAAAAGAAGAGTGTTCTTTACTTGCTGGCTTTTCTAATTAAATATTGTCAATTATTTTCCATTATTCAAATTTATCTCTTTTATCCTCCTCTTATAAAAAAAAAAGAAAATAATGATTATTTTAGTTTTTATTATAGGTTTTTTTTTCTTGGATGCAAGAAACATATGCGACACTCAAGTTAGTACTATAACTGTTTAGTGAGTTTAATAAAGTTTTAAATTCACAATAAAGAGGTTTAAAGATTTGAATGATTAATCGACCAGACTCCTAAATGATAGTTACTATAATAACATGACTAATAAGTGTTTTAATATCAATCAACACTATTATATTGTATGAAAGTAGCCATATGAAACAAATTTAATAAAGAAATAAGGGTGTGAATTTACCTATATTCATGAATATCCAAATAATTTGAAAATTCGAACAATGTTGACAACAGTAAGTGATCTATTTTATGAAGCATGTCGGTTTTTAAGAAATCAGTTCAAGTGGCCATTTTTTAACTTTAATATATCATTTACACAACTTTAGGTCACTCCTAATTCCCCCTTTAATTACGAATTTTCCAGCTCACACTGCACGAAAAGTGGTCCACTGCTGTAAAATGAATTTTATAATTTTAATTTTGAAATTATCAACAGAGGGGTTCTCCAACATAATTATTTTTTTCTTTTGATGGACGTAGAATAATAATATCCATTATCCAACTACGTCAACAAGGACAGGAAAGAAATAAAGAAATAAAAGTAGAAAGTATGTGGTATAAAGATTTTTGGTCGAAAATGATGTAATAATGTTGGTGGAGTCAATGTCATGACAAAGATAAGCTCACTAAAACGTGTTTTACAACAAATCACGCAATAAGAATTAAGCTAATTTTAAAGAATCTTTGACCATATAAGTGGAGTTTTGCTTGCCCTTTGGCTCGACGGCACCACCCCCTGATTCTGGGCACTGCACTCGCATTTTAGTATCTCCATTTTCACGACATTGTGCTCTTTGTACGGTTTATTCTTTTATATTATCCCTTTTTTTTGCCCTAATAATAACTTTGATTCGAACCAGCTTTTGTAGTGCTTTAATTTTAATTATTGACATATTGGAAGTGGTTGTTGTTGAACAGTGATCTTTGACATGGGTGTAAATATCAGAGTAATGCAAGCATCAAAGTCCATGTTTGATTAAAATAAATCATTGAAATCTAGAATAGAGGGATTTGTCACAAGTTTCAATTATAGATCGTATATTGTGACGTTAAATTTCCTTATCATCCAGTTATCATTTGAATTTGCAAAATCATTTTCGGAAACGCTAATATAAGAAATAAGCTTGGAAAATGATTAAGGGATTTTTAAGAAAAAGTTGGACATGTAAGAAGAACGATGAGTTATTACCGATTCTCTTGATCAAACTGTAGATTCAAATTTTATGAATTAAAAACCTGTGTTTGAAAGTGATATAGTTAGGAGGGAAGAATTAACTGAATATTTGCTTGGAACCATTCAGAATGTTAAAGTAACATTTTTTTTCATATATATCTAAGTTATAGGTTTTAAAACTGGTAAAATCCATTTAAGGATTGTCCAAATTATATAAAAAAAGGTGAGAACATTAAAATTTGACAAAAAAATGTCCTATTGAAAGAAAATGTAATTTAAATTTTCTGTTGAATTTTTTGTATAATCCCTCTCCCGCAACTTCAAAATAATATTAAAGTAATATTGATGAACACTAATTTTAATAATTTAAAATATATTAATTTTTTTAATATATTATTTAAAAAACTTAACATAGGTATAACACAAGAAAACAGCAGAAAATCTAGACTTGAGAAAGTAGAACTTGATCCTTCTTGTATTTAAATCTTGTAGATAAAAAAATAATAATAATTGGAAGATAATACTTCACTCTTAAAGTTTTCAATCAGGTCTCATTTTGAAAATTAATTATCAGCAAAACTGATAAATATTCCACTCAATAACATTATGACCCAAAAATATATATTAAAAAGAATTAAAAGTTTTAATCATTTACAGTCTTAATTATTCTAATTCATATTTATTTTTTATTTTTTATTTACATGGCTCATTTTACTTAAATTTTGATGTTTACTTTGACAGAGTTAAGAACATATAAAAAAAATATGACTCATTTTAGATTTTACAGTTAAAATAATTAATGATATTATATTAATTTAATATCATGTTATATATAATTAATTATAATTAATGTCAAGTCCATTTCAATGTAATGTTTAGTTTTAAAAACATTAATGGTACAGTTTGAATGGAGATACAGGATGCATCAAGTATCAACTAGGGAATGCGCTGGAATTTGAATCACCTCTCATTCTTAGCACACAAGATATGGAGCAGATTCATACATTACAAGAATACTTCAATATAATCATGAAGAAAGTGTTGAAAGTAACAGCGTCAAAGGAGAACTCCCCATACCTTTCCTACGGAAACTTCCAAACAACTCAAATCAACTCGTGCGTCTCATCAGCACATGCCTGCAAATAGTTCATAAAAACGGGGCAGACAGTGAAAGTGATGGAAACCTGATTGTTTATTCACACAGTACCTGTTGAAAGGACACTGACCAAGTGGACATTGAGGCGTTTATGATAAATATTTGTTCGCAAAAAATGGACCTGTCCAATTATGAGTAATACTAATGGCCAAAGCTAAAAAGATGCAGTCTCATCTCTGATAAATATCACTCCAGTCAAATTATATAGACCATGATGTTTTAAGCCAATAATCTCAGCAAGGAATACAAAGAAAATACAAAAAGCTTGCTCTTTGTTTTTGATTCTTATTTCCTTACAAGCAGAACTCCAGCTAACAGATACATAGAAGAATAACAAAAAAGAGCATCAAACAGAAATACCCAGGGACTTCTTAAACTTCTCAACCTCCAAATATACTGTGGAGTAAGGAAGGAACTCTGAGTAGTGGTCTCTGCTCAGATCATTTATAGCAACTGCAAGTTTAGGGATTTCTAAGATTTCCTCATGGGTCAAAGTCCTCACAAACCTGGCTGGATTTCCTGCCCAAAGTTCACCAGAAGGAATTCGCCTTCCAGGTGGAACTACTGATCCAGCTTCAAGGATTGACTGTGTCTCCACCAATGAACCTTCCATTAGGATGGAGTGCTGCCCAATAATGCACTCTGGCTCAATAGTGCAGGACCTCAAAAGGCTGTATGCCCCAATTGTCACGTACCTCTCTATTGAAGTGTCAGCCGGAAGGCCTGTTTCACAGAAGACAGCATAAGCAATGAATAAACAATAGATTCATAAACTATACTTAAGTCTATCCCATAAGAAAATTTCAAGGATATTTGGAAACAGCAATGTTATTCACCTCCACATGACAGTAAATAATTCGAAAGGAGTATGCAGATAACTAACTCCAGTTCACAGTAAACAGCTTAACAATGAATATCGCATTCTGATATTATTTTCAGAGTATATAAACATTACCGATACAACCACTTACTTAATTACTTCTATATTATATTATAAAAGGGTTGTCAATTGGTTGTGCACAGAGGAGTGGTCAAATCATTATTTTCCATTTTGAAACAAGGATAAAGACTAATTTTCCTGAAGAAACACAGCCGACAATGGTTGGAAGGGAGATTAGAAGTGTCGAACAGGACAATCACATACGAGTGCAACATACCTATAATAATGGTAACAAAAATTTATTTCATTAGTATGTTAGGAAGGGCCTACAGAGGTCCGAAGTAAACTCCAACATTTTATACGGTGGTCTTAGAATACTAGAATAATAATTAGTTTATATTTCAATTTTCCTAAAGGCAGATAATGACACTTATGGGATCATTATTCAACTGCTGGCGTCTTTTAGGTTCTATAATTGCAAGTGTAATCGTCCTCACCTATTATGAATGAATGAGGATAGGTGAATGCTGATTTTATGCTCTTTAGCTTTAAAGGTAGTATTGTAGGTATTTTATGGTAAGTAGTTATTTTCTCTCTCTATCAGTGTAGGACACAACCCTCCAGATGCCCTCTTGCCGGACTCAAAATAACACAACATAAATGACCAGAAGTATCTTTGCTTCAAACAAATTTACATTTCTCAAACAACACAAAAACACATGCACAAGTATGGTTCATTTCTTTGTAGCATACCACCAAAGTCACCTAAAGATCGAGGCCCTAGCATAGAGAACTAGTTGGATCAAACAAGCATCTCTGTCAAACTCCACTTCCACCCCATCTCCACTCCCAAGAGTATTTAAGTTATCCTTTTCGATCAATAGAAGAAAAAGATAGATATTACAATCTTCAATGATATAAGAAAATTGTTCAATCCTACTGTCTCTACAGAAAATAAAATAAATCTTGATCCAAAATTTAAGGAAACTCATATTTATAAAAGTAGATGTCAACTAGTAAGTTAAGGACTTGAGGCCAAGCAACAAAAATATTTCCCTCAAAAAATGCTATTTGGTACAACACCAGCACAAATATATTACATGGAAAAAAATGGGATCATTTCGCCCAAGGTTTCCAAAGTTTGGTTCCTATAAAGTGAATAAAGAAAAATAAGAATTGTTCCTTCAAAAATGCAAGTTGGTACAATACTGTTGCACGAAAATTTTACATGGATAAGCTGCATCATTACACCCAAAGGTTCTTAAATTTGGCTCCAATAAAGTGAATAAGGATGAAATAAGTAATCTTAGTCATCGAGGAGACAATCATCCATAGATTTTTCAACACATTTATAATTTCTTATGCGAGTGGTATTGACGGTTGATTTTCTTATCCATGATTGAGATTACCTATTTTTTTTTATTCTTTCAATTGGCACTTACAAGTAAAATGAATTGAACATCTCGCATGAGCAATAATCAACTTACGAATTTATCTCCTTCGAAAACTACAGTGTATACGTTGATTGTTAATTTTAGCTTATGAGAAAAGTCGAATTAGTTTTTTTTTCTTATTTTCATTGCTTAGGTAGAAATTTATCCAAAACAAGGTCTTACTAGTTATCCAATGAAATACAGAGAAACACCTATATTCGTATATAATTCATACCAGTAAGCATAGCTCTATTTCATTACGCTTGGGCAGAAAAGGTTGAGTGGGAGTAGAGAATATCAAAACCATAAACCTCATTTGTCTTTACTTTCTTAAGGCAAAAATGTGATCTTTTAGAACTTAGAATGTACCCAACTCCAAGGTACTTCGATAAAACTGATTGGTTTTCAAATATATCAGGGCCAACACATTATCTTCCCTGACCGAATTCTGACAATAGAATTGTCAGTACAATGAAACACGCCGGGGAAGGAGAACCAATCATATTCACAACTAAGAACTCTTGAATTAAACCATACCGAAAGACGAATTCGAGGAATTTCATAACTAATATTAGAAAAAGAACAAATCTACACAATTCACATTTCTAATTCCAAGGTACAGAAACGGAAAGGGAAGGAATGTGTTGGAATGGTAACCTAACCTGTCGGGGAAGTCCATGCGGCGTGAAGAACGGAGCGTTCCTGGACGTTTGAGCAGAATCCGATGCTGATCTTGTTGAGATCGCCGCGGAGAACGCAACCAGGCCAAACCGAAGCTCCGTCCCACACGGTGACTTGGCCAGCGAGGACCACGTTGGGTGCAACGTAAGCATCCACTGCCACTTTCGGGAGCCACTGCCCCAACGGGATTATCTTCCTCTGCCCTCGGTAGTCCCACTTCACCCGATCCGGAGACGGAGTAATTGATTTCGCCGCCTCCGTCGAGAAAGCGCGCTCCTCAGCCAATAGCTGAGGTTGCACTTGCGATTGCGCGTGCCTTACGAGCGAGTGTGCGCTTCGCAGGGCTCGCTTGGAGAAGCGTGCTAGATTCGCCATGAGAGAAACAGCCAGAGAAAGTGGAACCGGAAAATAAGAGAGAGGGTGAGAAAGACAGGAAGCAGGGAAGGGGGAATGAGTTAGTGGGCTACCAAGAGAAATCGGGTATTTCGAGCTCTATTCTTGGCCCACTGTATAAATAAATAGGCCCATTGGGTTTTATCCTTCTGAAATTTTAACGCAGTTTCTTCTGGATCTTCATAATTTTCTTCCTGCATTTTTGAAAAAGAATTCCAATTTTACTCTGAAAATAATTTTTCAACTTTCAAATTATGTAATCTGAAAGTCATTTTATAAGAAAAATAATTTTTTAATTGCAATGGAAACCATTTTCAGAAAATGACTTTTAGATTATACGCCCAAAAATATATAATGGGAAAAAAAATTGTGGGGTGCAGGAAGAAAGACGTGGAAGTGCAGAAGGAAACTTTCAAATTTTGATCATACCAATAACAAAATACATTAGATAAAATTCTTTCAGCATTCATTTTAAATTTATTATCCCAAATTAATGATTTAATGTCGAACATAGTTTTAATTATAACGTGTACTTGTTTTTCTAGAGTATTTTTTATATATAAAATATAAAACTGCATTTATTAAGTCGCTCAATTAATGTATTCAAACTCCGACCTATCACGGATTAGTGGATAAAACGGATTGTTTCACGGACTACTTAATTACAATTTTTTTAAAATAAAAAAATTACAAACTTTCTAATATTCAAATCAAAACAAATTTTACTCCGTATTTAATTAATTTTAAAAATAAAAAACTTAAATAACTTTTTCAAACAAAAACAAAATAATAAATATTTTTTTATAAAATTAAAATTAAATTTTAATAAAATAAAATAAGATAAATAGATTGGTGAATTTACCTGGTGCACCATCGTTTCAATCCACATAAACTGAGTTTAAATAAGTAGATTGAAATATACTCCACATAAAAAAAATACAATTTTTTTAAACCTAATCCAACTCAAACACGTGATAATCCGGGTTCACGGGACTGTGACCCATGCTCTACTAAATATGCAAAATTATATATATATATATATATATATATATTTTGATCTTCTTAAATTATATATAGAAATATTAAATTATTAGGAACATTAGCACTAGTATAAATTAGAACAGAGTAGTATTAAAAAGCAAATAAATTACTAATACTTTCTAACATTTTTATTTTTGGTTGCAGATCAGGCCACAGTACCCAAGAATCATAATTTTAAGGATTCCTATACTTTATGCTACGTAGTCCGTGTACAAAACCACGTGAGTTGAACTGCCTCTGCACGCAAGCCAGAAAGCCCGTTCCGCGTTTGCCTAAAATTTTCAAAGTACATTAATTACATTAATCGATTCATTGTCCAAAAATATTACCAGTGATAGTTCCACCGTTATCAGTAGTATTAATAGTATTTAATAAAAAGTACTTATGGGAAAAGGAAGAGAAGGAAGGCAAACGGCGTGACTTTTACATGCTTCCCTTTTTCTGTGAATGGACACTTTGCAAAGGCCACCAACGTAATATCCAAAACGGTACCGTTTGCGAAAATGTTGAAGAAACCCCAAAAAAGCAAACCCAGCCAACGTCACAAAGCGAAATGGATCATCATTCATATCTTCGTAAAAACAACATCATCCTTATCCACACACACGTACAGTAACAGATCAGAAGTACTACACTAGAAACTTACAAGGAAATGTAAAAAAGTAAAAGGCAGAGAAAGATAAGGAGATTGAGATTTAGATCCGTTGAGCTAGCCGGTTTGGATGTGAACGCCGATGGCAATGAGGAAGATGGTGATGAGGCCGAAGTAGATGATGGCGTGAACCAAAATGGAGGCTCCACTGGTTTGCATGTTGCCGAACTCCGCGATTCTTCCCCTGGATGGTATCTGGAAGAGAAGGCCTGGGCTTAAGAGCACGAACAGCACCACCGCGATCACCACCGGACCCCAATCAGCCATTTTCACCCCTTTGTTTGGTTGGAAGGAAGAAGAGTTTGGAAGTGGAAGAGATTTCTACGTGTGATTTCAGGTTTGGGGCTTTTAGCGGTGAGCAACACAAGTAGACAAAACTCACACCACATACCCAACCAAACGGATCCTTCGCTTTCCTGTCACTCTTCATCTTATAACTCGTTTCAACGGCTCTGATCAATTCCCAATCATCTTAACGATTTTCATCCTAATAACTTTTTTAAATATTATATAACTTCCATTATAATAGTACTTTATAACTTGGCGATAAGATAATATCTTCAAATCTTTAGTGTATCATTTCCCCAAAAAAACAGTTTTAAAATGATTTTTTTGACCACTTTTTTTATAATGTTTCTAAAAGAAATTAAATGAATTTAACTTTTTTTTAAACGTAGACTATGAGACATTAAATGCGTCTTATAAAATACTTTTATTAAAATTTTAAAAATAATAGCTATCTTTAAGTTTTTGTCACATATAAATTCGTTCGTATAACACGCGTAAATTTTTAAACTTTGAAAATATTTCTTCTCAGGTAAAATGTGGTGCTAAACTAATACTATATTTCATATAGAAAACTACCTTATGTTAATGTTAATGGGAATGGAATTAAGATTGGAATTAGGTTTCTCAAAAAAAATTTAAGATTTTTTTAAATAGTTTTAATAAATAAATAATTTTAATCATTAATTAGATTTAAACAAATAGTAGAGAGAGAGAGAGAGAGAGAGTTACTCAGCGGTATAAATATATAAACTGCGACATGAATCTAAATAAATTGGGTCAATTTAGTGCTATCCTTCACTCTCATGGGTTATGGAGGCTTTTACTTCCTACACCCCCACAAGTTTTTCAATATACACTCATTCAATCACAACAACATTAATTCTTTAAGAAATATTTTTATTAAAATGTAAAGACATAAACCCATGATTAAAGAGTCATTGATCAACGGCTGAGGCATATCCACACTCAGGTTTCTTTGTTTTTATGAAAAGAAAAAAAAAAACAGACACGTTTGCATCAAACTTTGAAGATTTTTTTAGCTACAGTACCAGATGGTTCCATTATTGTGCTTATTTTGTTAGGTAAACCTTTCGATTAATTGAAGAGGTTACAGCATGAAATAGCTCCACCAACGGCTAAAATTGTTTCAAGTTTGCAGGTGAATGATTATAACTACGACTTTTAAAGAAGCAAACTTTGCAATTCGATCATCGTTATAATCTCTTAATATTTTGTCCCTTAATATCTACGAAACTTCTATGAATGAAATCAACATCCTATAAAAAAACATTGATGTTAGCATGTATTTGGAAGAAGTCTTAAAATAATATCAGTAGCTTAATCTTAATATAGGCATGACAGTGATTTTCTTTTTATGTAATGAATAAATATGCAGCATACGATATTTTTATTGTAAAATAAATAAATCAAATCAAACATACTTAATATTCATATAGATAATTGCATTTAACTAGTTTTAAATATTGTTTCGATCTTATACGTACAGTGATTTATTTATTTTTAAATTATTTTTTTTAATTATTAATATTTAGCATTTAAAAAAAATTGGCAGGTAATTGTAAATACATTTTAATAAATTTATTTTAAATATAAATTATATTTCTAAGATCATATTTTAAAAGTTGCACAAAATGTAAGAAAAGAAATACTCATATAATAGCTATCTTTATGTTTTAATTTTATTGAGTGTTTGGCTATAACTCTTCGTTCTGAATTGACACATGTCGAATTTACCGCACTTGCTGTTCCCACGAGAATTGGCCCCGTTGGAATCGGCGTCAAGTTCTCCTCTCCCACCACCCCGCCTTTTTTCTTCAGCTACCGACACAACCACAATGTTCCTTCTCAATCTCTGTTTCTTCACCGGCTGGTCACCGGGAACATACTTCATCTACCGACCGTCTCTACCCCCTTCTGTCCAGATTCCTTCGCCCTCCTTTCTCACCAACACTCTTCTCTTTCCGGTGACTTTCTTTGCTTCTCAATTTCGTTTCTCCCTTTTCATTTTCCATTTTCATCACATTTTATCTGAATTTGAGCGGTTACAGGTAGCGTTCGGGAAAGATGTCAATTCAAAGTGTTTCTTCTCGAAGGGGGGGTTCGTTGACGAACAGCCCCTCACAGAACAAGAAGAAAGCCTCTGAGTATTCGTCGCTTGACCTTACTCCTCGTAAAACGTTCCCGTCACCGCGCACCGTGTACTTCCTCCTCCTCATTTTTTTTCATATACGTTTTCATTTTGATTGAATTCTCCTACGTATAAACTAAAATCGTTATACTCGACCCTAGTTTTTAAATAATTTTAAGAGTTTTTTTTATCTGAAAATATTTTTAAATATTAGAATTGATTATTTAATTTATCATAGTTAAATTATGATCAATTTTAGTTGATAATAGAAGTGTCTTAAATTTGTAAACTCTTCACAATTAGTATCTCATTTGTTTAAAAATAAAATGAATCATAAATATACAACTAAGTCACTAATAGTTTCCCTCAATTTATGTGGAAAAGAAAGATGATACTTTTACACATATAAATACTCTTAAATTTTCTACTATTTTTTTTATCAAATGAATATAAATGTATATTATTCTATCTAATGAAAAATAGGATAGTCTTTATTTAATTATAAATACTTTAATTTTAGTAAAAGAATTATTAATGAAAATACGTTACGGATTATGTTTTATAAAAAAAGGTCAAATATAAGTTGTAATCATCTTATAAATAAAAATGAAAAAGGCATTTTGATAAATTATGTATTTATTAATTTTTAAATCAATTTTATATTATTTTTAAAAATTGATTAATTATTAGAAAGAGCTCTGTTTCATAATATAAAGTTTTAGCATAGATTTTAAATTTAACTTTTGTATTAAAATGCTTTTGTCATAATACGATTAATGTATTTAAAATATTTGTTTATTTTAATTTAAGTTGCACAAAATGAGTATTTAATCTGGGTATTGCAGTAGCTAATGCGATTCCAAAGAAGTGTTCAAATTGAAAATTTATAATAAATAGAATTCCCATTGGTGTTCATGTGAATTGTCAT